GATTCGAAAATGTGATAGATTCTCCAATCTGTATAAGGTAGTTGCGGATCTTAAAGTAGAAGGGGATACTTTGTATATGAATGGCAATGCTGAGTTATGCTATAATACCCTGATACTAAGCAGAGGAGTGATTACATAGGATGAGTTGAAGGAGGAGGTACGTAATAGGTTTGGGGAAGTGCTAATGGAGGATGTAGTGGAAGAATTTAATCGACTACAACAAACAAGCAATGTGGAAGATTATTTGGTAAAGTTTGGTGACATTAAAGCTCAGATGATAGTAAGGAACCCTGGTCTAAATGAGGCACATTTCCTTTCTAGCTTTGTAGAGGGCTTGTAGGATGAAATCAAGTACTCAGTAAAGTTGTTCAAGCCTAAAACCTTGAGTTGTGCCATAGAGCATGCTAGAATGCAAGAGAGGGCTATTGAGGCTACCTTGAAGAAGAACCAGCCAGTGGCAAGAGTGACCAATGTTGCTAAGGCTTCAGCTCCAACAGTTATGCAAAGACCAACTGTAGCTTCTCCATCCAAACAAAGTCTCTTGAGACTGACTCCAAAGGTGTATGAGTATAGAAAGGCCAACCAACTATGCTTCAGGTGTGGAGAAAAGTTTGGTCCTGGTCACAGGTGCCAATTCAAACAGTTGCAATGTTTGACTAGAGAAGTGGAGGAAGTAGCTACTATACAGAAAGATCCCCCACCTGAGATAGAGATTGACTTAGACATGGGACCGGAAATACAAGAGGTTGTTTGCTTTAATGCTTTGTTTGGTACTAATATGGGAATCAATACCATACTAGTTAGAGGAGTGTTTAGAAGAAAGGAGCTAACTATCTTGGTGGATTCAGGTAGCACTCACAACTTCATTAACGAAATTACTGTCAAGGAGACTGGCTACACACTAGTGTTTTCTAATACCTTGAGAGTAACAATGGCTGATGGCAATTACATGTATACCAACTCTGTTTGTCCCAAGTTCAACTGGAAGATGGGTGGAAAATTGTTTGAAGAAAACTTGAGAATACTACAGTTAGGAGGTTGTGACATAGTCCTTGGAAATGGTTGGATGAAGAAGTTCAATCCAACCAAATTTGACCATGAGATGAATTGTGTGACCATTGGGGAAAAGGGCAATAAGGTGGCATTACAGGGCATCAACCAACAGGGGCAATTAGGATGGACTAGTGGAAGAACTATGGAAAAACTAATAAAGAAGGGCTAAAGTCTCATGGCACACTTGTTCTTGGTGCAAGCAGTAGCAGCAAAGAGGAGGAGCCCATTGATCCCTCCATCCAGACAATATTGATCACCTATAAAGATATGTTTGTTGAGCCTAAATACTTACCTCCTACAAGGGCCCTAGATCATGGAATTGAACTCAAACCAGGATCTTCTCCTGTCAGCCTGAGGCCCTACAGGTATAATTTCTTTCAAAAAGAAGAACTAGAGAAACAAGTAAGGGAAATGATGCTTAATAGGATCATTAGAGATAGTCAGTCACATTTTTCTTCACCAGCTTTATTAGTAAAGAAGAAAGATGGGACTTGGAGGTTTTGTGTGGATTATAGAGGACTTAATGAGATAACCATCAAAGATAAGTATCCAATTCCAATAGTGGATGAATTACTAGATGAGTTATTTGGGTTAATTATTTTCTCAAAAATTGACCTGAGGTCTGGGTTCCACCAAATCAGGATGAAAAGTGACGACATTTACAAAACTGTTTCTAGGACTCATTTGGGATACTATGAATTCAAGGTGATTCCATTTGGGCTAACAAATGTTCCATCTACATTTCAAGCTTTGATGAACCATGTTTTTAGCCTCTACTCAAAAAATTTGTGCTGGTATTTTTTGATGACATTCTCATCTATATTAAATCTACCTGAACACCTGACACATCTGGAGACAGTGTTCAAAATCCTGAGAGCTTAGACCTTGTATGCAAAGAAATCTAAGTGTTCTTTTGGGCAATCAAAGGTAGAGTACTTAGGGCATGTGATCTCTAAGGAAGGAGTCTCTACTGACCCTGAAAAGGTCAAGGCTATGGTATACTGGCCCACTCCTACTACCTTGAGATGTTTGAGAGGCTTTCTAGGATTAACATGATATTACAGAAAATATGTGCTCCATTATGAAGTTATTGCTAAACCCCTGACTGATTTGCTTAAGAAGGAAGGCTTCAAGTGGAATAAGGAAGCTACAGCTGCCTTTGAAGCTCTAAAACAAGCCATGATCAACACCCCAGTCTTTGCCTGATTATTCTCAAGACTTTATAGTAGAGACTGATGATAGCCATAATGGTATAGGTGCTATGTTATTACAAAGGGGAAAACTCATTACTTATAAGAAGAAGGCATAAAATAAAGTTGTTGATGCACTCTCTAGGAAGTTTGAGGGTCAAGAAGGTAAAATCTTGTCTAATCCAATTGAGTTCATGGCCATTAGTGTAACAATTCCTACTTGGATGCAAGAAGTCAGTAATAGCTATGAAGGGGATACCTATGTAGCTACCTTAATCTCTGAGGTAACAGTGGCTACTCAAGGCCTCATATATACCATTACACAGCTGGACTATTGGGAAAGAAGGGTAAGATTTACATAGGGGATCATGGTCTACTCAGGCAATAGTTATTGACAGCCTTTCATGACTCACCAATTGTAGGGCATTCAGGCCAACTTGGCACTCTAAAAAGGCTTTCACAATTATTCTATTGGCCTAGTATGAAACATATGGTGATTGACTATGTATCTGCTTATGATGTGCGCCAAAGAAACAAAGGAGAAAATATTCCTTACCCAGGCCTACTGCAACCTCTACCCATTCCAGACTAGGTTTGGAAACATATCACCGTGGATTTCATTGAAGGACTACCAAAGTCTAAAGGAAAGGAAGTGATCTTTGTGGTAGTTGATAGGAGGTCAAAATTTGCTCACTTTATGACTCTTAATCACCCTTACACTGCAATGAATTTGGCTAACAAGTTTTTCAAGCACGTGCATACCCTGCATGGGTTACCTGACTCTATAGTTTCTGATAGGGATAAGGTGTTCTTAAGCAACTTCTGGCAGGCACTATTTAGGCTGTTGGGCACTCAACTTCATTTTACTACTGCCTACCACCCTTAGAGTGATGGCCAAAGTGAAAGGGTGAATAAATGCATTGAGAATTATCTTAGGTGCATGACTTCTCATAGGCCAGTACAATGAAAACAATGGTTACCCCTAGCTGAGTGGTGGTACAATACAAATTTTCATACCAGTTTAGGATGCACTCCTTTTGAAGTCTTGTATGGCTTTACTCCACCACAGTTATCAGTTGGGCCACTATTAGATACTACTGTCCAAGCTGGTAGTGATGCTGTTATGAGAAGGCAGCAGGTTCAACAACTGTTGCAGGATAATTTGATAAAGGCTCAAGAGAGAATGAAGTTATATGCAGATCAAAGAAGAACTGAAAGGGAATTTCAGGTGGGCGACATGGTTTTTCTAAAGCTCTAGCTTTATAGACAAACATCCTCAGCTCTTAGAAGGAACCTCAAACTCAACTCCAAGTTCTATGGGCCATACAAAGTCATTGCCAAGGTGAGGCAAGTTGCTTACAAACTAGAACTACCTCCTACCTCTAAGGTACACCTGGTATTTCATGTTTCTCTTTTGAAAAAGAAGGTGGGATCCAAGGTCATTACTCAGACTACTCTGCCACAGACTGGAGAGGATGGGCAGTTTTTGGTTGCTCCAGTTGCCATCTTACAAAGGCAAATGGTTAAGAAAGGAAATGCAATTGCTGTTAAAGTCTTAGTACAGTGGTTGAACTTAGCTCCTGAGGATGCCACTTGGAAAGATTATGTAGATTTAAAAGCTAAATTCCCTCATTTTGATCCTTGAGGACAAGGATCCTTTCAAGGGGAAGGGAATGTCATGATCTGTAGAGTCGTTATAATTAAAAATGGGGCAAAGTTCAATTATAAAAGTAGGAACGACCTCCTTGCAAAACACGAAAAAGTTAGATGGTTGAGATTTGTTTAGCAGGTATAGATCAAAGGCTCAGATTAATTCCAAAGGCATCAAAATAACGACTGAGTGGAGAGGAGAAAACAACAAACTTCTGGTAACTAAATTTCTCTCTCTCTTCTGATTTCTTCTCCCTCAATCCAAATTCTCTTCTCACCTAAATCTATTCTTCTTCTGTTGCAGACTCGAGCTCATCAACAATGGCGTTAAACTATTAGTGTTGTTTTTTATTTCATTTCCTTCAGTTTAGTTGTAATTCTTTCATTTCAGTCAATAAATAGAAAATTATCCCAAAAATTACTTGTTGTTTGAATTTCTTATAATTGTGGTTTTGGCTTGAATCGAGCTTAGAGCTTGACATAATATTGCTTATGGATTCAATAAGTTTGGTTCAAATTATGTATTTGTCTTAAAATTTTCATTAAATATTTATTAATTATTAATTTAGAACCCTGACACTAAAAAGATTAGGATTCCGAACTCATAATCTTGAAATCATGACTCTACTTTTGTTTGTGTGCTGGAAAGGGAAAACTACGACATCAAAGTTAATGAGCCAGCCTATAATTCCGAGCTAGAAATAAGAAGATGGAAATATACGTATGAACCCTAATAAGGGACGACAAATTCGGCAAAGTACTTTCTAAGTAACTTTGCCAACTAGTTTGAATTTGAATAGTATAACGTATTATCCCATGCTTTCGTTGAATATTCAGATGAAAATATCCTAATGATTAAGGGTAGTCAAACCACACGTAATAGTGCTAAACTTTATGGAGGTACTGCTATAACAGAGCTTAGCTGAAGGAAGAGAAGAGAGAAGAAGAAAAGGAGCAGAGAAGACACAGGAAATGAATGGAATAGTAACTGCTTCTTTGTTCATGCTTTAAGAGCTATACAGAGGTGTATATATATACATGTAGGTTAACAACCTAAATACTCAACTAATCTAGCTAAGTATAAATAGACTAAACTACCCCTCACACTTAAGTCACTCCTCTTTCCTCAACACTCCCCCTCAGGCTAGGTGATATAAAAATATCAAGAACACCTAGCTTGGACATCAAGTACTCATGATGTACTCTAGTCAAGCCTTTTGTTTGAACATCTGCAAGTTGTTCCTTTGTGGCCACATACTCTGTCTTCACCAGTTCATTTTGTATTTTCTCTCTTATAAAATGACAATCAATCTCAATATGTTTGGTACGTTCATGGAATACTGGATTTGCAGCTATCTGAATTGTTGTTTTACTATCAGCGTGAATGGTTACAGGAAGAGCAACAGGTATTCCAATATCTTTGAACAGTCATAGTATCCAAACTATTTCCGCCATAGTTGATGCAATACTTCTATATTCTGATTCTGCAGAACTCCTAGAAATAGTGCTTTGCTTCTTAGACTTCCAAGACACTAGTGAGTCACCATACATAATGAAGAATCTAGTTATAGATTTTCTAGTGAGGGGACAAGCTGCCTAGTCAGCATCACAATAGGTTGTAACTACGTTCTTCTTCTTAGTAGACAATAGTATGCCTTGTCCAGGCTGGTTCTTCACATATCTGACTTCTCTCTGTGCAGCCTCCATATGAGATCTTTTGGGTTTTTGCATGAACTGACTCAGTATCTGTACACTGAAGGCTATGTCTGGTCTTGTGACAGTCAGATAAAGAAGCTTCCCTAATAGTCTTTGATACTTGCTGGAATCAGGTAGTAGCTCATCAGTTATTATGTTGTGCATACTTGTATGTTCATCATAGTCCTTGGTGTCACACCTCCTTTTTACATACCCGAGAGGGTGCAAGGGAGTTTTTTCAATTAAAGGACAATCGAAACGGGATTTGTTTATTTATTTCAGAGTCGCCACTTGGGAGATTTAGGGTGTCCCAGGTCACCAATTTTAATCCCGAATCGAGGAAAAGAATGACTCCATATTACAGTATGCGCACCAGAAATCCGGATAAGGAATTCTGTTAACCCGGGAGAAGGTGTGAGGCATTCCCGAGTTCCGTGGTTCTAGCACGGTCGCTCAACTGTTATATTCGGCTTGATTATCTGATTTTATACAAATATGAATTTATGTGCAAAATTTTATCTTTTTACCGCTTTCTTAATTATTGTTATTATTTTACGAGAATTGCAACGTCGTGGAAACATATCTCGAACCACGTTACATCAATGCACCCGTAGTTGTTTGGCATATCTCGACTCGGTTGAGATTTGGATTTGGGTCACATAAATGTGCACCCGAGTTAAGGAAAATAAATTATTAAAGGCGCGCCTAAAGCAACCAGCGTCTTGTTATTTTGGGGAAGGCCGTAAAATT